TTATTAAAAAAAAAAAAAAAAAAAAAAGATGTCTTCAGCAACTTATACAGTGAGATGGGTGGCATATAAATTTGATAGATCGATCAATCAATCAATCAATCAATCAATCAATCTGTTAACTTCCATTCCACCCACAGCTGAGTTCACTTCCTGTTTTCTTGTTTTGTTTTTCCAGGCATGGATGGGAAAAAATGCAGCGTATGGATGTTCTTACCTCTTGTCTTGACATTGTTTACCTCAGCAGGACTGTGGATTGTGTAAGTGAGCGTTGCCAAATTATTGTTCTTACAGTTTCTGGAAGGAATATTATTTGACACAACACAGGTCTAGGAGTCACAACATGTTTCAAGAAGGAATAGTATTCTATCCAAGGAACATGATTATAATCAGATATCTTTCTTGGGACACTCTGTTTATTTCAGCATGACAACTTTCCTTGAATGAGGCAAGACAGTTGCATAAAAATTTGTTTGTGTTTTCAGTCGAGATTCCATGATCGTTATACACACCTATTTTTCATGGGGCTGCTGTGCCTCTTGAAATAAAGTGTATTTGTTTGTATTTTTGCAGTACTTATGCAACGTTAGGGTTTTCTAAGCCTGCCAGTGTTTCTCTGTTGTGTACTGTGCTTGAGCAGTATTGCCTTGCCAACATAAGCAATGCCACTGATAAAAACCATGCATGCATATGCAAGAAATTAAGCACCTATGTCTGCAATCCAAACGTGATGGAAATCTGAATAGTTATGCAACCAAAGCAAATCTGAAAAAAACGTGTCCTATTCTGCTTTGTTTCATTTGCAATTTTTATTTGTGCAATATTTTATTTGGGTATGGTTTGCCACCCTGGGAAGGATGCAAAAGGCTAGGCAGAAGGTCTAAATCTCATTCCTATCACAAAATGTTGGCAGGTGTTATTACCAAGCTGTTTTCCCAAGATGGCTAGATGTTTTAAGTGAAAACACAACAAAAAAATTAAAATGAAGCAGTGGGTCTGTTCCTATGAAATGCTACACCACAAGGACACCTTACCTACCATGTTGGAGAAAAAGAGACTCTACTATTATGACCACACTGCAGTTGGCATCCTAACCTTAGCATGCCAATCCAGAGGAATTTACATACATTTAAATCCAATGGATGCAAATGGAATCAAAGGAGGGTGCTTAACAGGTTCCTGGGTTGCTCAAGGTTTAATGTTTGCTCCTTTGAAAGGACCATGCCACCCAAGTTCTACCCTTAAGATCCATCTCTCATCATAAACCAGAGGAAATAGTCTGGTGCTCTCCCCATGGTTTGGAGTTCAGCTCCCTTCAATGCCAACTAGTATGGCCAATGGCAAAGGTTTATGGGATTTATAGTCCAAAACATCTGGAGGGCAGCATGTTTAAGCTCCTGCCAAAAGATACCATTTCTTCTGACAGAAGAAATAAGCCTTGATTGCAATGCAGCATCAGTTCTACAGTTGGCCAGAAGTTGTACCGTCATCCTGCAAGGATTTGATGTCACAAGGATATAGCAGAGCCCTACAGATCTGGCTCTGATCTGATTGCTTAGTAGAAGGTAACCCTTCTCAACCCAATGTTTTAGACAGTGCTGGCCCAGGATTATCTAAGGATCTTGTTGGCTGATGTCCTATGGGATTCTCTGCTAAGCTGCTTTTTCACCCACTATATACATATCCACCCTTTTGGGGAAAGTAACATTATCCAAGGGCAGAATGAAAGTAAAAAAAACCAAAAAAAAAAAAATAGTAAGCCAAAGAAATCAGAAGCATGATATATGAAAAAAGAAAATCTATGTATAATTCCTTTACTGTACATCAACATTGTTCCCTATGCCTCTTCATACCTTTCCATTCCTTCCAATCATTCTTGTTTTCATGATATCCATATGCCACTTCATAAATTGCCCTTGGTTCTTTAAACTTCTCATCTCTCTTATCAACTCCATCCAAGCACAACTTTCTTGGTCTTCGCCTTCCTCTCGACCCAGTCATTCTTCCCCCACATATGCTCCTTCCTGACCCTCTGCTGAACAATTTCTTTCCAGCTCCCAGTTCCAGTATCCCTATGCACACTTCCTTTTTTCTTGTGAAGAGAGAGTTTTATTAACATTTTCTATGCTTATCCTTTCCTGTTTTTGCAGATATTTTATAGCAGTAGAGGACAACAAAATTCTTCCACTAAATGTGCCAGACAGGTAAAACACTAATTTTTCTAATATTTATTTTCTTTCTTCTTATTTGGCATTTGAAGGCTCCAACAGGCTTGTTTCCAAAACAGTGTTGGGAGCTCTACTCTATTGCCATCTTTAATGAAATAGAATTAGCTTCCCTTAAGCCCAGAGTGTAGTATATAAGCCCATTTTATTAACTCGATTTTCCAGTATGCACACTCATGTTTTTTATTAAGGCTGTGCACTGGATTGGATTCAATTCTCAAAAGGTGTTTGAAACACACAAATCTGTGAAGGTGACCACTATCTGTAATGGTTTAAAGGATCTGTGTCTTTTCTGGGGATGGCAGTTGCATGATCTCAGGAAAAGATGTGGCTGCTTTAAAAAGTTATAGATGAGTGCTAAAATTTTGCTCCCATCCGCTTTGAACAACCTTTGGGGAACTGACTCTGAGGCATTGCACAGCCACAGTAGAGAGCATTCATGGGTATGAGCCTATTCTCTACTAATAACCCAATATGATACAAACAATAGCCCAAGTGTGGTGCACTGAAAGTAAAAACAAAGCAGAGATATTCAGCTTGTTGGATTGTGGATTTGGCCACTAGCCTCTCACAGTTTTGAGCCTTATAGCACAAGGGTCTTGGCTGTGAATGGTCTACTTTTTCTCCTTCGCTTTGTTTTTGAGAAGCATTCTGAGATTTACCAGTTGATTCCAGTTACTGAATGGAGCCCAAAGAACAGTGCTGGTGTTGATTATCACTACGGCTAGGAAATCTTACACTCTCCAGCATGTAGCCACTATATTAATAAGTTTAAAAAGTAAACACTCAGAAGAATGAGGACAAGGGGAGATGAAACTTGTTGAACCAGAGGGTAGGAAACAAGTATTCCATTTCTGATATATCTAAGGATATCACCAAATAATAAAATAATCATATTGAGCCAGGAAAGAATATTACTAACAAAGTGGTGCTACCAGAAGAATTGTTGTGCGTGCAGAATAGCTTTGAGAAAGCAAATACCAACAACACAACTGGTAGAGGAATTAGGTACAAAGAGACTATCTAGATGAGTTTTAAGGGCAATCTATGAAGCCATGGCAAATAGCTTAGATCACAAACACCTGCTGAGTTTCCTTCTTTTCCTTTTGAGTCAGAACCAAAGGCCTTCTGGTCTCATTCAAATAGACATGCACATATCTGCCAAGGAGAGTAAGGAGAAGGGGCGCACACATTATTGCCCCATGCTTGGAAGGAGATGGAATTCACCCATCCTTCCTATGCAGCTCAGGGAGAGCAATAGAATTGCATGTCCCATCCCTAGTGCTGGGGTGAAGGGAAGATTATGAGAAGAACTGTTCAATGTACTGTATGCACTTGCACACCCATCATGGCTCTCTGTGATGGGCGGTTGATACATATCCACATAGCTTCATTCAGAAACGGAGACCAGCTCTCGTGAGGGTAGGAACAGTTGGGAGAACAGAAGGGGAAGGAGACTTGGGGCATATTAAAGTTGGAGGGTACAAAAAGGATTCAATGTGACTCCAGGGCCAGGGACTTGTTATTTAGGGTAAAAAGCCTTCTCCAGTCATGGATCTCCGAACTCTAGAGTTCCCCAGCACTCAAGATTGCTGAGAATTTTGGGGTAGAAGTCCCCAAAATTCCCACATTGTAGATGCCCACATTGGAGAAGACTGCTGTAGATTTTTTTGATGGATTGCAATCAGAGTTCTGTTTCATCTTGTTTGAAAGCAGATCATTTGTTTAAAACTAGCTATTTCTATGCAAAACAAGTTCAATAACACCAAATGACTAATGTTGTCATTCTGACTTAGGTGTGATTAGTTTCCTTTTGTGTCCCGCAGCAAACCAAGTTCTTTAAAGCCGCCATATATAAGGTAATAATGCCATTGTCCATTCTTTTCTCTTGTCCCCTCTCTTCTTCTTTTCCCCAACAAGGCCTCTTCTACCCTATGCATTTTTAATTGATTTATTTACCTTTGTTGCAGGCTTAGTAGATTTACAATGAAACACATTATATTTTTGAAGTATTGCAGGTGATGTCCCTCCTGCTAGCTGTGTATTTAGCCAAGTCATGAACATGGCAGCATTTCTAGGTAGGCGTTGCATGAAGAATGTGTGGCTTCTTTTTGATCTCTTCTAATTCACTTTAGAGAATCCCCTGTTTCAGCCAAATCCATGTCATAGAGATCTAATGAACAGCAGCTACAAGGGCTAAATTCTCTCTGAGGTGGTAAAATTGGGTTTGGGCTAGAAACAACTTCTTCATATCCTTCAATTATTATTGCAGAAAGGAAGTTACCATGTCTAGGAAAAAGCTAGGCTATAACTTTTTTCCCTGACACACTAACTTTCTCTGTGCAGGGATTTTAGTCAATAACCAGCAATGGATGCTACATCCAGTCCCTATTTGTAGTCTCAAGTTATATAGGATAGGTACAGATTCCAGGCATGGCACAAATACCTGGAATCTTTAAACTTAGAAACTAGGTGCTTTTCTTGAAATTGGGCCTGCTCTACCTGTGCGAGCTACTCAAATTTTTAGTATCTCTCTGCAGTTTGTTGTGAGCTGGCTGCCATTTAAAATTTTCCACAAAGCTCTGGAATCACATTGTATGCAAGCATAACGGGTAATTAAAATAGAATATGAAAGTGCTGCTGTCTGCATTAATGGTAGCTTGTTGGTGGGCAATAATGTTGAGAAGAAGCCAGCAAATGATGCTTTTACTGGGAGTCCCATCAAACCTGAAGCTTACTACCTCAGCAGGAACTAGGCCTATAAAAGATGTGTTAAATATTCACATATTGACCCATAAGTGTCTTCGTATTCTTTTTTCATGTGTTAAATTAAAAACAACAACACCATCAGTCATTATTATTGGTTTGCATGAGACTTTTACAGATTCTATTGTTTGAGAATTCTGCATGTGTGTGAATATCACACAGTTGTGAGTGCGCATATAATAACAGCAGGAATGTACCATTTATATATAACTCTTCAAATCCTTGTCTGGGCTGCTGGTCACTCTTCCCATGTTATAGATAGGCACAAAAGATTATAGATAATTATTTTTTACAATCCTGAGAATTGACTATACTATTCAGTGTAACAGAATAGCATCTACAGCAAGAACCTTGTTGATGCTTTCTTACTCAAGTGTCCCCTATCATGGAAGGAGAAAGAGCAGGAACAGGCCTCCATAGTCAGGTCTCCTGCCAGCCATGTCTCCTGCCAGCCTAAGTTCTCTCTGTCAAGAGTGGGACAAAAGTTCTGATGCAAGAAATTCATTTAGTGCCTCCCTATATGGTTGAACCTGCAAGGTACTAAATCTTCTAGGGAGCCTACAGTTCCAGGTTTTTTCTGATCTTGTAGCAACAGGAGAAGGACCATGGAGGCAGAGCCAGAGAGCAAGGTTCCACCCCTCCCTTATGTATAGCAAAGAATGAATCTTAGGATATTGAGACTAACCTTTTGCTCACGGTAGAACCTCCCCACTGAATGGCCCTCCAGCTTCTGCTTGGAGAAGGAGGCTCACCACCTCTCTCAGAAATTAGGTCTGTCATTGAACTGCTTTTACCACTGGGAGGTTTTCATGGATGAATGTTGAGATGTGGTAAGAGTAGTGGAAAACTGGTCTTTCAGTTGCTAGTGGCCAGGATTGTTCAATGCAACTTCTAATTTCACAGGCATCATACCTGTAGCATACAGTGCTGAGTGTGGAAGCCAAGCAAAAGGAGAGTATTGTTTCTTTATTTTTCTTATAGGCTTCTCAGAAATGTTTGGCCAGCCGCTGTTGAAAACAGGCTGTTGCATTAGATGGGTCCTTGGTTTGGTCTCCTTCAACTACATTAATCACACGTTTGATAAATATAAGCATTCAACAGATGCATTGCCAGTTTGGAAATGTCAATGAGTACTTGGTATTTTGCTCCAAGAGTTGCTTAAAAATCCATGATTTGGAGACCTGATTGCTTAGTCTGAAGGTGAAGCAGCTTCACTATTAATTATGATTTGTGTAAACATATGGCTATCCTTGCAGAAGACAAGATGTCTCTCCATATTATATTCCAGAAAAAATAGTGCTATACTGTACATGCATTCAAAAAGAAGGAGTTTCAGCATACAAGCACTTTCAATAAATCCCAACATGTTGGCATTCCTCAAATGACATCTCCCTCTTCTGGATAGCCACATACACAGCGTGGATGTCTGCAGTAGGAAGCTTCTCTCTGTGTGTGCTTGTATGCCCCTTAGAATCTTGTGCAAGCAAAGACCTTATTGTACAATTGCTAAGATAAACTACTATTATCTATGCAAATATCTTGTAGCAGCTGAACTGGAATGATATCTGAGTTCACAGAAGGACATGCATGGCCTAGAATTGTGCAAGAGTAGACACAAGATCCTTGCTTTCCCTCTTCTCTGCTGAATGGTTGTTGGCCAACCCTACCACCTGAGCTGACAGCCAGATCTCTGTAGCATGGAGTCTTTTTTATATGGGTGAACTTCCTGAAAAATTTAGAATCTTGCTCTGAGCCCATCAGTTGTTTACACTGCGTGCAGTATTCCCTTCTGCAAGTGTTCAGCTCCCCGTGTGTGGCCAGGAGCAGTGACGAGGCCACAAAAATATAACAGAAGCGATTTGTTCTTGCTCTCTGTGGTATGAGCCGCACTACTCATATAGCAGATTAGGTAAAGACTTGGTTAGGACATTCTTTAGCATATGTGAATTCAGCCCATTTACTTAGTAAATGTGTGGTTTAGTATATTGTGTAAATGCAGAAATAGGCTGGCTCAGTAACCAAGTTAAGTTCTGTGTGCAAATTCAGTTATACATTTCTAATCGTGTGGGGGTGGGAGTGGGGGAACTGCTGCTAGTGGGTTTACTGGTTTAGCTAGTCCACAAAGTTAAAGGGAGAATCCGTCTTGGGGCTGCTCCGCTTCTGCTGAGTTGTTTTGTAGTAGGTGACACTACCTGTCCTTGTAAATGGGTCTTCAGTTGGATGTTGAATGGCTTTTATTGTGGGAGTTAAAATTGCAGGGCTGTGTCACCAATTCTTTCTTTTTTTCAGCATTGGTTGTGGCTGTCCTCCGCTTCATTCAGCTAAAGCCAAAGGTTTTGACCCCGTGGCTCAATGTCAGTGGCTTGGTGGCCTTATGCTTGGCTTCTTTTGGAATGACCCTACTGGGCAACTTCCAGGTATTTTGTTTTCTCTTCCTTACTGACTGGGGTCATCCATTTCATTCTGCCATAATGTTGTTTGGTTGCTTTTGGCTTAGCGTGCTACATAAACCTAGCCACTATTTATGGATCATGGCTTAGGGCTTTGGTTGCTGCATGAAGTCAGACTATTGCGGTTTATTCAATAAAACATAATGAAGCAAACTATGACTTGCAGCTCACAGCATCCAGAACTCTGTTTCCTGTCCCATTTAATGAATGTCCCAGCTACCTGTAAATGGCTTTCTTCTGAATCAGCTGAGCCAGAATTGGTCCGCTGTGTTTGGCCATGGAGGTATGTGTGCTTAGCAAGATCTTTTCGCTGCCACTTGTCTTGCTTCAGCAATACAAGCTTCTTTTGAACTTCCTTCAGTTTTTCTGGAGGAAAATTTGGTGGAAGAAGGGCAAGATCCATTGAGCATGCACAGCTCTCTGAATATATCTAAGCTGCATTTGCATGGGCCAACATCTTGATGGGGGTCAGGCCATAAAACTTTCTGTGCTACCTCTTTGGCTCTAGGCAGCTGAGATCATAATCTGGCAAATTTGTAACAGTGATACCTTCATAAAGAAACAAGAAATGAGCACAAGAAACAAGGCTGATGGATTTACACAAGAACAGGACTGGCTATATTAAGGGATGGTGGGCTTGGATAAAAACTTGTCAGGCTCATAAATCTGAAATCTAGCTTTTGCAGCAAGATCATAAAATTTATCTAGTTTTAATAGATCAGTGTGAGCAGTTAGAATCCATAGGCAGCCTCAATCTTGTTGGTGCCTACATCTTTTTCTTGGGATAAGTACAAGAGGTGACAAGAGGGTAGAATTGCCTCAGTGGCCTCTTTTGGTCTCCTTCAGAAATGGCAGAAGAATGCAACTTCTCCAAACATGTAAGAGCTAGCAGGTTGGAAGTTCAAGAGATGAGCAAGACACTTCTTGGGAATGGAAAGCCAAGGCCTCCAGCTCTCCCAGTACCCACTGCAGAGATATTAGGGCATTCCGAGTTGAGGAAAAGAAAGCAGAATCCTTAGGAAAATGTGGCTCAGTGGTCTTTCACTGGATGTAGCAACAAAGGTCACCTGTTCTGTGCTCTTTTTAGCTTTCCAATGATGAAGAAATACACAATGTTGGCACATTTTTGGCCTTTGGTTTCGGCACCCTGGCCTGTTGGATTCAGTCCGCGCTAACCCTCAAAATAAACTTGAAGAATGAAGGTAGAAAAGCTGGAATCCCACGCGTTGTCTTGTCGGCAGCGATAACCCTCTGCCTAGTTCTTTGTATCCTTTAAGTTTTTGCTTTTTTCTTTCTTTCTCCAAATGCAAACTATTATAGGCTGTTTCTGGATTGTTGTACTGGCACAGTAATTACTGTTTGGTCCAAGCTGTATAAACATGTATTTGACAGAATATGTCTGGCCTCTTTGGCCACAAAGTTGGTGGTTACGAAACAGGCTTGCTTTATGATCAGTACCCAGTGGGACACATGGAAAAAGAGAGCACAAGCCCCCATTTCTCTTGTAGTTGGCTGATTTCCCCTAACTGGCCTTCAGTGCCCGAAGGGAACCATCCCAGGGAAAAACCACTGAAAGATCAGTATCCAAAGACTGACGTACAGTAGAGATGTAAGTTCAGTTCTGTTCCTCTTTTTGTGTGCTTCATTTGATGTTTGGAGAAGACCCCATTTTAAAGCCAAATGGCCTAGGTTAGGGGCTTTTAGACTTTTCCAGGTTGAAGCACTTGAAGAAGCAAAGCTCTAGTGCTAAAAATTAGCTGCATTTTTTTGTTGTTGTTGTTATTATTATTATTTTCCCATTAGTCACAGTTTGAAAAACTTTGGTCTAGAGGTACTTTAAACATCTAATTTACTTCTTGAAAAGACTCTTGAAATACAGGGGCGGGGATTGCACAATATGTTACGCAAAAGGGCACTTAATGCGTTTACAGAGTTTACATAGCTGCTTAACCAAAATCTTAGATGTACCATGTTGTCCAAGCCTGGAGTGTCCACTATTCCAGGTTTACAGAAACCAGTATTTTGTAATCTACATATTATGATTTCAAATTCTGTTTTTTGTAAACCCTAAATGACTTTGGTTTGGACAGCAGAGTAAGCTGGAGTCTTGGTCAAAAGTTATGGGGGTGGCAGTAACATGGCAGTGTTTTTGCATTCATTGACAGGACTTTGGGGCTGTACATGTTTTTTATTTATTTATTTTATTTATATTTTGAATTTAAACAGCGCCCGTCTCACGAGGAAGTAACTCTGGGTGGTTGTGTTGTGTGTTGCGTGAATGCAGGTGTGCCCATGTGGTGGAGGGCAGAGTGCAGACTGGACTCCTGTACTTTTTACAGTTTAATCATTCAATAGAAGAAATAATTTCCTAGATATTTTTCGTAGCTTATTCCAAGTTGGGAATAAGCTGAATTCCAAGTGGAGAAGAAAAGGTTCTCCTCTAGGGCAGGTATGTTAATTTGTATTTAAATGTTTATATTCTCCTTGGATTACTCTGTGAAATGTTCTTTCCCTAGAAAGGGAATGGAGAATGTGCAGCCCTGAACTCAAATTCCCATTAATTCTAGCAGCAAGACGAGTGCTGTGGAGTGATGAGAATTTCAGTCAAAGAACATCTGGAGGCCAACACATTGACCACTGGGAAGTTCCTATAGCTTGAAATAGCCTGCAGGAAGTATCATTCTGTTTATTTCTTGATGAAGTCACTTTTTAAGGAGGTCCTGAATATAGGCTTGGGCTGTTGAAAATTCCAGATCTAATGCTGTATGTCAAAGATTTTCAATCCTTTTCAGGCTGTGGAATCTGAGATTTGGAAAGAAAAATTTCCCAGATTGTCTGCTCAAGAGGCAAAGCTCTAGAGCAGTGTTTCTCAACCTTGGCGTCTTTAAGATATGTGGACCTTAACTCCCAAAATTCCCCAGCCGGTTGAGAATCACTGCTCTGGGGATAGAAAATTGGCTCCGTTTGAGCGAACTTTTATTTATTTATTCCTTTTTGCCCTTAATCTGTCACATACCTCATCAAGTTCTTGTGGAACTTGAGGGTTGTGCCAAATACTATTTGAAAAACCCTACCCTAGCCACAATCGGCCTAATAGTGTATGCCTGAATTGGCACACCCTTTGAGAAACTTAGCTTTATTGCAACATATCATATGTCGCTCCTAATCTTTGTGTTCATGAATATATACCCGGGGGGAAAAACACTCGAGTCTTAGCACACCAAAGAATGACGTTTCCAGTTGCTTAGGTTGGAATGGTCTTCTTCTCATGACTAGCATAGTAGCAAACTGTGGCTGAGTATGTGATGCAAAATAGAGACTGAGTTACAACTCCGCTAACTTAATCATGTTGCTTTTCATGGGACAGACGTGGGATCGAAGGGAAGTAGATTTTTTTTTCCTAGCAGGAAGCTTATACAGCCCTGATTCCAAGAGCCATTTCAACGTTTGCTCCTGTTGCTCGGTCTGTGCCTTTGGGTTTCTGCATATTTTCCTTGACGCCCCTTCAGATTTCATTTTGATGAACGAATTTAAGTTCCACATGCATGCATCACGGGTACAGTGGGGAATGGTGATGTGCTTCTTATGTTTCTTTGGCTCCTTCGCTGTGGAATTCAGACACTACCGGTTCGAGATCATTTGCTCTGAGTACCAGGAGAATTTCCTCAGCTTTTCTGAAAGTCTCTCTGAAGCTTCTGAGTATCAAACGGATCAGGTGTAGCCTAACCCAGGTTGACCGGGCGGAGGATGCTTGCTGTCAAATGGCCCCTTTTGTTGACTGTGTTTTAATGTTTGTTGCTAATTCATCTCTGCAATCGCCCAAGCTTTATTCTGAAGAAAGAACAAGATGCCTCTTTGCATGGATATGCAAAATGTTTCAAACTGAATCGCTTTCCATTTGAGCATGAACGTCCTGCCTCAAATGCAGAACGGCCATGGTAAGCGCAAAGCGGGATGCTCTCCAACATCCTGCAAGTCTTCTGGGCTCAAGGCTGAGCGCTGCCGGCACATTTTCCCCAATGCTCAAAACGGCCCACTTCTTGCTTAGAATTGTGGTTGTACGTTCAGGACAGGGTGCTTTGTACTCGAAATGGCTGAGTTTGAAACATTTTGCCCACACTACCTCTTTGCTCCGAGTTTTTGTTTTGTTTTTGCTTTAGGCATTTTATAACCCAGTATGAGATGCTGAGTCATCAGGTTTACGTTTGTTCCCCATAGTCCTCCTGTGATCGGCTGGCAGAACTTATGTTACATAAAAGAGGTAGCAGAGATCTATGAACAACTGTCATTCATATATGTATATATATATATATATGAATATGTATATGTATGTACGTGTGGTTGCACCTTGAGTGACTATGAAAGATGAATAGGGTCTTGTTACCTGCAATAAATTTTAGACCACGATCATACAGTAACCATGATCTGTGGACGTATCAGCAGGGCATCCACTAGGTGGAGGTGGTGTGTCCAAATTTGCAAGATGATGTGTGCTGCATGTTGCAATGGAAGCTCTATCTTGTGTGTACATGCACACATCACACCTGTTTACAGAGGACAGGGCTATGATTGTGATACTACATCCACTGTCTTGTAGATTTGGAGGACCTCTGGCAGATGCCACTACGTATAAGGCAGTGTTGTCCAAACTTGGCCACTTTAAGATGAGTGGACTTCAACT